AAAATCAAAATATGTTATCTTTTAACAAAAATTATCTTCTTACGATTAGAAAACTAATAAATATCTGAAAGATAGAAAATATAACATTTCTTATCAAAAACACTTACTACAAAAAGAAATGAAAATTCCCCCTAACGTGAGTTATAAGCCCAGCCAGTTCACAACCTGCACTGATACCAGTCTTCATTACTTACAGAATAATCTTTTGAACAGACACAGCAGTTATTGCCGTTTCTCTCAACACTGGCTCTTTCATAACGTTATGTGTCAAAAATCTAATCACGAAATATTTGATAAACCAAAACAAACGAAAAAGTTGTAACTACGTTCTTAGTTAGATTGGTGCACATAGTTTTTCGATTAAAAAAATACTTTTTCTAAAAACTAATCGCAAATAAATGCAAAAAACATGGAAATTTGATTCAAAAATTTACTTTTTGTCGTAATAATCTTTCACCTTTCACTACGGCAACGCGATTTCGACGTTGACTGTCAAATTTCTATGGATGACGTAGTTTTAGTGTTGCTATCAAATAAAAATAGTTTACAATTTTTTGTTAGATTTAGTTAGTTGAAATATGAGATGGCGCTTTCAAAACATGACTTTCTGATACCCATTCTCTCCTATATAACGTCCACAGAAATAAACTGCTTTTTAATTCATCAGGGAATGTATGTATATCCGAAAATATTTTGTAGATTCTTTCGGATTTGTATACTTTGTATATAAATTGCGTTTGATATTGAAACGACTACATTGCAAATCCAATTGTGTTATTTTTATATGCATAAACGTCTAAAAATAACACATTTGACTGAAAGCTTTTTTACATGTTGCCTTCATGTGTTAAATATCGTCATTCAACGCGTTTATTCGTATTAAATTAAAAGTTAATACGTTTAATCGTGTTAAATGACGTAATTTAAAACGACAAGAAATGTGTACAAAGAGCTTCAGCTAAAATAACACACTTGGATTTGCAGTGTATTAATTAGTTGATGATGAGATTTTAATAACACTATTAATCGAGTCTTAATACGTAATATTCGACGTCGCTAGATACAGCCGCGATGTACTTAATCCGTCTACACATAGAACTTCCCAAGCGAGAAATTGAACTCGAAGAGACCAGGTGACTAGCGCGTCTACTTGACACTGTAAATATTTACGCGCATTGTATAAGCGTGTGCCATAGGATCGTGCGTCGCTGTTGCAGAAAGTATGTACGGTATAACAGATTGTACTGAAGTTGATATTACGCGATCCGCGGTAAACCGTACATTACTTATCTCGCGCGCACATGATGTTTATGTCAAAAAACCACGCGATTACAATAAAATAGGGTAGACCGGGGACAAAAGTAACATTTTGAGTTTAAGATTTTATAACAGTTAAAATATAATATCTACGTAAAAAAGACCTGTACTTTTTTAGATGTAGAATTTATTTGACTACAAAATTTTCTTGTGCTGAATTCAGTAATGTAATGGAACGATTGTACCACATCATCTATAAACAAAATAATGGCTATTTAGTAAGTTTATGGTAATCAATCTTACGAATTTTCTATAAAAAATGCAACTTTAATGATAAAATAATTTGTTACATGACAATATCAGTATTTTTACATTATAGCAAACAAAAACAAATAATACTGTTTTCTCAACTGAAAGATTATTTATAATCATATATATTTAAAGGGTTAGGTTAAGTTGAAGTTGTCCCCGAGCAACGGGGACAATTGTAACGCTACAACTGTTCTCAGGCATTGATGTTACAATTGTCCCCTAATGATATTTTATGATTCGAAGTAAATTTTTTACATAAATATTTGGATGAAAGTCAATCGTATTATGCAAATCATCAACATAAATAATCACTAAAACATATAAAAATAAAACCTTATATCTTCGGCATAAAGAAAGAAAAATATTTCAGATTTTATGTACGTAAGAAAACTTACTTCAGGAAGGAAAAAAGTAACTTCTTCTCCTGCACACGTGCACGTTCCGCGAGGGGCGGCAATGAACTAAGGAACAAATGCCGCTCTATCTAGCGGATCTCGCCTCGCGGTCATACACACGTACCTTTTATAGTTTAAGAAATATTCACGATGTTACAACTGTACCCTGTTACTTTTGTCCCCTACTGTTGCAACAAATACTATAGGTAATAAAATGAAATTTTTGCAACGACCAACGACTTACTTAAATCCAACTAAACGATAATATTTGTATGCGATTGTATAGTCACACCGAAATTTATTGTAATAAGTCGGTTGTGAAAGAGAAAATAGAAAATGAGAACTTCAGAAAAAGAACGCCAAAAGTAAAACTTTGGAAAATCTAATCAAAAATTTTTTCGCGTTTATTTTGCGCAAATTAATATTTGCATAAGTATTAGGTATTATTTTGCACCATAAAAAATCTTATAAAGAAATCCTATATAGATTTTTGTACAGTATTACTAGCCTTGGCACAAAAGATATCGAAGTCTTTTCAAACATAAAAATGATTTCAGAGAATGTAGTGCCTACAAACCTTTTTCTTACTTTTGCCAATTATTTTTAATTATTATTTAATCCCCAAATAACTTGTTCTACTGTGTCCCGATAGGTTAAAATTGCAATCAGTAATTATGTATATCGAAGACGCGCGAGATCGACGAAGAAAATGGAATTTCGAACGAACGTCGAAGTGATCAGGGAGGAATTAGGGGACGTAAAGTGCCATTAAAATTGTTTCCCGCATGATGGGGTAACTGTTTTCGAGATTCGCAGGAAGTTTGAGTCCCTGTGATTGGTGATTCTCAAGAAAGAACTGTCTTACTTTAGCACCGCCGAGAAACCATGAAACTTGAAATAGCCTACCTCAAAAGACGGAGAAAGAGTCTTTGGAACGATAAAATCGCCATTTCAAGAATCCTTTCGCCGAAGTTTCGCCACGAGAGTTAATCGCTGGCTGTCATCATCCATAGGGGCTTCGTCCTGCGCCGACGTAGATTAGGGAATCCGTCGTATAGGACGGAGAAAATTGTTATTCGTAGACTCTCGCGAACCTTTCCGCGCCACTTATCTCTGCTTTATTGTCCATTCCAAACACTTCGACGCAGTGAATGCGCTATTAAATTTTAGAAGAGCTTAACTCTTATAATAATAAACGTATTTACGTGAAAGAATGCTTGGCGCTGATTAACGAGCCCGATGGTAGCGACAGAAATGGATTACTTACATAACCGCACGATGTGACTATTAATATATCCCAAAAGCTCGGTCGATTAAAATATTAAATTAATCGAAGGGTTCAACTGAAAAAGAAAAAGGCTGGAAAGAGACATATAAAAACTGCAAAGTATATTAATTACACAACGCTACCTTTTTCTCTTCGGATTTATTCAGGTTTATACATCAAAAGATAATTTTTTATCAGATATATATAAATTTTGTTCTTTAATGCTATAAAGTTTTAATTCCCTTTCGCTCTTTCTTTCTCTCTTATAATTCTTTTTTATCTCAAAATTTATTAAATTTACATTTTAAAAGAGTAAAATTTGTACAAATAACAATTATAATGTAAATAAATGGAAATGCCCTTTATATGGCCGGGCTGGATATTTGTGCCTAATAATATCTACTATTACAATAATATAATTACATTGATAATCAATTTAATAATACCGATGCTAATAAACATCTGTAGAATTATTACAAAAGAATAATTATAATATTCCTTTCACTCTGTTACTCTCTAGTGATATATTTAAATTGTCTCTATAATCCACGCGGAAATGATGTCCGTGTCTACGTTATTGTACTTTCCGGAAAAGGGGAGTTTCAGAATTGTCGCAGAATGCAAATATAATCTGTGACTAACTGGTACGTACTACTCATAATCTCATTGCACGAGCGACGCTATAAGTATCGCGTTACGCATTAGCAACCGCGCTTAATTCGAGGTACTTGGGTGACGTTGAAATTATTTTGGCAAAACCGACGATCACGCGAACACCTCCTCGGGATATAAATCGCTCATGCAATTACCGTTCCACCGAGAATTTGCGGAACGAAAATTACATTGTGCTTTATGACTGTGCCAAAATTCGTCTCATAATCATGAGTGTAGTATCCGTTTCACTTCAGTTTTTATTAGTACAGATTTGAGAGGCCACCACAAGTGTTTCTCTAATGGATTCTCTTATTATACGATAATTGACAATGTTACTCCTAAGATAACTTTTAAAAATTGTCGACGAATATCCTAGTTTATTCAATTTATCAGAGATACACAGTAAAAAATCGTGCGTCCAAATGTTAAAATTTTCTTGTGTTACCAAGATTTGACTATTATTTCAATGTAAAATTAACATACAACAGCTATGTTATTATTTTCGTAACATTTTCATGTGTTATATTAATGTCAACGTGATAACTTAACACTTTATGTATGTCATTTAGAAATTGAATATTATTTTGAGTCCTTTTAACATAATTATTTCAAAAAATCAACACGCCTTAAAGTTATTTTAACATAAACAAAAGTTAAAGTAAATCTTTAAATAATCGTAAAATTTGACATATAAAATAATCAAAATTTACTACAATCAAATGTTCAAAACAACATTTCTCTTAAGTTGAATTAACTATCGTTTATTCATATATGTTATATCGACATTTTTTACAAGTTATTTTTACATTATACTTAAAGTTAAAAGAACAAATATAAATGTAAAATATAGTGTCAATAAATTAACATTTCTAATTTGTCAACGAGTAACACACGATGAACGAGTTATTTTAACTCAAAATTTAGAGTGGACTTTCTGGGACATTTGAAAAATGTTACGATTAACATTTTATTTTTTACTGTGTATCTACAAAATTTTCGGACATATTTTTGGCTTACAGAAATATAGATTGTTTGTAGTTGCGCTTATGACACGCGATTGATTTTTTCATTTACACATCCGCTGACGAGTTTATCCCGTTTATTGTTGCAGGGGCTTCGGGAAACAGGGATATCAGTGCCAAGGTAAGAAGGTCAGACCGATCTCATCGGCTCTGCTATTTGCCCAAGGTACATCCTCGTGGAGGAAAACTAGGGACACATATTTCGCTTGTGTTTCAGTCTGTAGTTTCGTCGTTCACAAGCGATGTCACGAATACGTGACCTTCACGTGTCCGGGGGCCGACAAAGGAGCCGACTCGGACGTGAGTACCGATATTATATTTAACGCCGAATATCTCTTCTCTCTTCACAACCTTAAATTCTTAATACGCAGACTATCTCGCCTTTTCTTCCTTTTGTCCCCAGCCAAGGTTTCTTTCTCACGAGCTGTCGATGAATACGAACTTCCGCGAATTTCCATGTAGATCTCACTTGAAACATACTTGCTATAAAAATCCAGTCTTGATAGATTTGATAGATTTGATGAATGTAATAAGATGCGCTATACGGAATTTAATAACACCAATAAGTCATTTGTTAAATATGTTATAATTTTTCTGTTTTCTATTTTTTTTACTTTACTAATTTTGTTTTATGAAAAAAATTTTCTCTTATATGCGTATAATACTAACACATAAATGCGTTGAGTAAAGCGTCGAAAATTTAGATAGGATCTTATCTTCTTTAGTAATATAAAAAAATCTTTTAATTATATTTCTTCTATTTTTATATCATTCCGAAATTTTGAATGCTTATACCAGCACTGCCATTCAGTCTCTTAAATCACTTTTTGACAAATCTTTTTTTTTTACAAGTCACTAAAATATCATTGTCGTCCCCAAAATGGGTCATTATAGTTATCTTTTTTTTCCTGAGCTGACATAACATTTGTAAAACACAAGTATTTTATTTGTATTTTTGTCATCTCGTCTGATAACAATTACTGTTGCTCACTTGGTACTGCTTCGGGGTTTCAGAGTCTCAGCATTTGATTACTTAGAATTAGCACCGCTCATCGAATACACTATATCGCTATAACATCTATTATGTTGTCGGAAATAAAAGTGCAAAGATAAAAACAATTGCTAAACATACAATAAATGTTTGTGTTTGGCCTTTCCGCGACCAGCTCGGAGATATAGTTCACGGTCTGGACTGCTTCATCCAGTACCTACTCAAATCCTTTTGCTTTATCTAGGTAATAATATTTAAACTTTTATTTTATTTAGTTGAGTTTTTATTTTATTACATATAATAAAATGTATTATTAATTAAATAAAATTACAAAGATGTATACTTGTATTATATTGTTCAAACTTCAAACCCCTTTCCGTTTTTTCCTTATTATAAATTTTAAAACCATGCTATGAAAAGAATTTGTTACATTTTTGGCTATCCAAAGGTCTCTTGGAAAATAAGAGTAAATTTTTTTTGCTTAAATGGTCTTAATTACTCTAAAAATTTGATTAAAAATGTCACTTTTGATTACTATTTTAATGCCTAGAAGGTTACTTTTTATCACTTTTCAAAAAGCAGTCACTATTACACTTTTTCTGTCCGATGACTGGATGGCAGCGCTGCAATATTAATTCGTCTCCTTACACAAAAGCTGTTTCGATCAAGTTTTATGTTACTTTTGCACTAACGATGGTCCGAGGACGGGTCAAAACGTCAGAAGTATAACAAAAGTCTCTTTATACCAAAAATAGGTCACCGAAAGTAGCTTGAGGGTTGGTCAAGCTGGCCAGGAGAGTCAAATAACTGTTTGACACGTCAGCTTTTAAAGCCTCCTGGCCTCGAGTAGGCACATAGCTCATCATCGTGGCTCTTTGATTCTCAAAAAGTTGAGAGTGTTTCGTAAAAAAAGGAAAATGTTCACCGATACATCAACCATTAATATGTCATTTTAATAAAAGGACGTCACTAAAGATTCTTGGTCTGTGATAGATGATGATGTAAGATATTTCTTGCGTAAAATGTCGTAAGTCAAATTAGTGTCTCTTTTAAATAATTAAAAAAAAAATCAAAATCACATAACGACGTTTTATAATACCGATATCTTTATGAAATCTGTTACGATCTAGGTGTGGAAGTCGTTTATCATCATTTTCGAGTGTCATGAGAAATATGGCTGAAACGAGATTATTTGGTTATACGTGCTGCCGTTGATGTTAAGAACTTGTAATTGATAAAATTACTGATTTTCCTTGAAGTGGATTTAATATGAAACTTTTCATGGCGAAATTATGATAGGATGATAAATTATAATAATATAATCTGTGTGAAAAAGTAGAAATGATAAATCTTCGTTAAGAATGCTATATATATACGTTTATAAAGAAAATTATAGCGGATAATAAAACCGAAATGTTTCCTTCATATATTCTCTTTGTTTCTCTCATTGTCTATTGCTTTTCTTGATTCTTTACTTAGAATCAAAATTCCTATTTATAACAAAAAAGTTTACTAATTGAAAAAAGTAGTTAAAATTAGCGGAATTCAGATTCTTTTTATATATTGTAGCAACCCTTGAACTACATTCGAGCGCGCGACAGTAATAAAATAAAGAAAAAAGGAATGCGTGTACATGACGGTGGAATTTTCATTACATTAGTTCGAACCGCAAAAGAGAGTCAAGTTCCGTGTGTGAACGTGGGAGAATGAGGTACGTGACGGCGTTTTACAAGCGTAGCGTTCAACTGAGCGTGCACTAATTGGCTGCTGCTGCACGGCTGCTGCTAAACGCGTGTGAAACGTCGTCCGCTGTCCCATCGTCGTAAGGTGCTAAAGGGTTGGGGAAGAGCGGCAGCACATATAATCAATATCGAGGTCATTTTCGAAGGCTACGATAAATCGCGTGCCGCCGTCACCTTGTAAATGGATAATAATAACGTATACGTAGCGCGCGTCAGTAATTCGTTCGGTCAATCTGCCCGTAAGAAGATAGCCTTTACTTAACCTGACACGCATTAGCAGAAGCGGATTAATTAGGCTGCAAATACCTACACTTAGTAGCACCTTTTGGAAATTGCACACATTCGCATCGTCATTTGCAAGAAGTCTAGAGAAATTTTGCCTTGTTACAGATGATAGCGTACTTATTTAAAACTTATTAATGAAAGCGATAAGAGAATTGATTGGTCTATAAAATTATGAAGACAGCCCGTCCTCGGAATTATGATAATTCGTACATGACAAGTCGCACAGAAATATAAAATTATTTTATTGAGATATAGTATATTTTTGTTGATGCCAATATGGGGTACAACAAAAAGTTATGAATTTAACAATTCTAAGAACGCATGTTTTTAATTAGATGATTTACTGCAGACAAATTTTTTTCTTTGTTACATTTTATTTACTTTTGTTTGCCATATTTGAATTAAGTTAATGCACAGAAAGAACAGAGATCTAAAAATATTTTGTTGGACCATTAAAATAATTATGTAGAACACTCAAACTGATTGCTAAAATGTCAAAATTTTTTACAGCATTATCATCATTCTTCAGCGATCTATTATAATTATTTTGATGGTGCAACAAAATTATTTTTAGATCTGTATCTAGCTAAATCTTTAGATACTTCAGTAAAACCTTTTTTTTTGTGTAGTGACTATTATTAAACATCTTAGCGTCTTTACTTGTTAATAAAAAGAGAATGATTAGCTTGTTACAACTTATGCCTCGGAATAAAAGTTCCAGCGTCAAAGGGATAAAAACTTCAAGGTACGGATATTATTGCGCTGTCCGGTGCGCTAACTCTGAATTTTTCCACTGTTGAGATACGGAAGACAATATTCCCGTGAGAATGCAATGAAATTTATCGCAAAACACCGGGCGGCCGTTGTATCTTTTTTATCTTTCGACTGACAGGACTTAGCGTCGCTTAAAAGGGCAACGAGTTACCGAGGTCGGAACGCCGAGAGATAAGAGGATAATGAGATAAGAAGATCCTTGGCTGGGGTAAAAGGAAAGAAACGAGGAGAGAAACAACTATACCCGGGGGTTAAAAGCTGTATATGTTCTTCTTTCATATTTGTCTCGCACCGCGCTCACCGCCTATTGGCCTAAGCGTCCTTTTTGCGCTTCGTTTAACCACGCTTGTAACTACGTCCGCGCAACGATTAATTTATCGAAGCGAACAATTACATCGGAGATATCGTTCCCGATGTAACTCGTCCGGGAGGGCAAAGCGTTTCCGGCTCGAAACAATTTCCCCTTTATGAAAACAAAGTTACTTCCTCTCTATCGTTCAACAACTTGGAAATTTAATAAAACTTCCCCGGTGATAAAATTGTATACTTTCCTGCTTTCATCGAGTAATGAATACGAGTAACGTGGGATATGTCGCATCCTCAGCTCAAGTTCAACCTTGACGCCTAGTTATTTTAGCTCTAAAAAAGTTTCAACCAAAGTTTCAAGCGACACGATAATATTGATATTAGGAAAAAAGTTCACTGTGTCTGTTAACATAGGGTTAAGTACATCCCACGTTTCTCTGCTACAGTCGAGAACGTCGACCCGGGACGATATCTGGATGTTGCGATGTTCACGCCAGACAATCGCAAAGTTTTTAAGGATGGTACAGAGGAAGACTTCGATATTCGAGCCGCGAACGTTTTCCCCTTGTCGCGCCGGGAATAAGTTTTTACTTATCTTTGGAAATTTCCGATGAACTAATCGAGAGTCCCCGCTGTCTCCCTTTGATTCTCGGCGCTGACTTCTTGTTCTACCTTCCTTTTATGCTTCTGCGCTTCAAAGGTAATCCTTTCCGCGCCTATTCATTCCGCGCGAATATCGGCGATCATGGATTTCCCCGTATATAAGGCGCATAATGCATTTTCATTGTTGGATACAAACTGCGACAGAGAAGAAAAAGCTCGCGTATGTGAGCGAGCGTAGATAGCTTCGTTTTCTTTATCCTTCTTGTGTACGGAAAATCGCGTAGTTAACATACGTCGGAATATAATTCGCGAGATATTCTTGCAATATATATCATCAGTGTCATTAAATAATTTGGTGCACTAATGCATTCGCGACATGTGATATTACCTTGCGAAAATCTATCTGGCACATATTTGAACTGAACCATTTATAAACCGAATTTTCATCCAGGAGAAAGAGATCTTAATTCTTTATGAGTTATCTTTATATGATAGATAGTTCAGGAATTTTTTAATAATACTTGGATGAAGCAATTTCGAAATTTTAACAATACCGAAAAGATTAATATTGTTTTGCCGTATAAAAACATCTTGTGTAATATGACATTAAACTATCTGTAATTTTTATTTATCAAATGTCAACCATTTTCACATTGTGAGATTACATGAAAAATATATTATCAGAGTTACATAGGAAATGAAGATATTTATCTCAATTATATGTAACTTTACGACTTATAATTTGTTTTTTGGTCTGCTTATTACTTTTCTTGAAAAAGAAAATAAGAATAAGCGGTTTGTGAGCGTAGATTTTATTTAATAGTAAATTTCATTTAATTAGGGCGGCATCTCTTTAAGTGATTATAATGCAAACGCGTCGTATAGCTATCACGGTTGACGATTCACGGTTTCTCAGCTTCCGCTCTGCTTCCGCCGACTGAAAACGGACGACATTGCTCTTCGTTTGACGATGCTTTAGCTGGACAGCTACGTGATTTCTAGCAAGGTGGTTACGGATAATGAGCTACCGTGGAACGCGGACTAATTGAGTTTACGTCTCGACCGGCGAAATTTCTCGCCTGGCGAAACGGAGGCACCCGTTTCCGCGATGACCAGAAGCACCGGAAGGCTTAATGCACCGGTTGCATGCCGGATTCACGACAACCGCTAAACCCCACGAAACTTCCTGCAAGCTTGTTTCGATTTCCGCTACCCTACCCTCGAACGTTATCTAGGAAGCAGCGGCAGTAGCCGGCTTCGGGAACGCCGCGCCGGCTGCGGCCTGCTATTTAATCCTATTTGGACTTAAGACCGCGCGGTTATGTAACTTTGTATCGTAACTTTGTATCGTAACTTTGAAAAACATTATCGATAATTTGAATTAGGGGAGATTAGGGCTAGTTGTTATACACGCACGTTGTTACATTTAATATATTTCTAGAATAAAAGATGATACTACATGAAGAATATGATATTGTCTCAAAAACGTTAGTAATTCAGTGATCATTTTTGGAATGCGTAATATATTTTTCAAGATAAGTAATATTTATCATTTTTTAAAAGTAGAATAAATAAAATATATTATCTGTAATATTTCTAAATTTATCCGTTATATGTTGCAGTTTATTTTAATAACATAAGATTTTATTGTCAATTATATAATTTTAATTTCAAAATATGGCAGAGCGGGGCTAATTGCGACAGCTAATTGTAAGCCATTACAGTTTCTTAGTTGCGAAGAAAGGTTCATTACATTTATATTTATTATATCTCATATTTCTAATCGATGTACAGAATTTAAATACAGATTATTTTTTCAGTCTTTTTTGTATAATTTTGTAAATTAATGTTTTTATTTTGTTAAAATAATGAAGAATTAAGAAATTGATTACATTTATCTTTATTATATATAATATTTATGATATGTGTATAAATATGTATTTCCATTATTTGAGAGTTTAAAAAAATGTTTTTTCAATCCATTAGTTAAAGTATTCCTCTGCACAGTTTTCTTGATTTTTTTTATCTTTACGTCATCTATTTGGAAGAACTTACAACTTTTATAACTTACTCCATGAACTTTAAATTAAAAGAATATTTATAATATAGTATAAATATACAGCTTTTGATAAATCTCTTTGCATTATTTATTCGATTTGTAGATTAGCTAGAATCATCAATAAAACAAAATTATTAATAAAAAAGTGTAACAATTAGCTACAGTCTCCTCTACTATCGGCCTCACGAGCGTGACTGTTAACGTAAGAACGATAACTAACGGGAATAAGTCAAAGAAACATGTTCAATCACTAAACTTTAAAGAGTTTGCAGACATGTTACGACGTTTCTAAAGTAACACTTCGTTTCCAGGCAAGAATAAACTAAATTAGAAAACTTTTCTTATGGGAAAATTTTTAAAGCTGGAGGAAGTTTAACAGACTTCGAAAGACTAATCTTTTCATTTGAAGTACGACGCTCCATTTCACTAAAATTTATTTTAACATAGTTACAACTTACTTAATCTTACAATTTTGAAGAACATTTTTTAATTTTAAATCGGCTTAAACATTTCTACAGCAACAGATGCATAAGCACTGAACTTAATCATTAAAAGTTAAACATTGAGTATTACGACAAAATGGATTCATGGAATGCAATTATAGAAAATACATACATATGTATGGCTTTCGTCACGATTAATATTTTATTTACATTAAAAATTAACAAACTTACTTAACATTTTGACTGCTATGTCGTAATGTCACCCATATTTTACGGATGACGCATGAATTTCTGCAACGGCTTCATCACTTATTTGTAAATGGTTTTATTTATACAGTTAAAAATGATTTTACTAAGTATTTAACATATTTAAACAACAATATAATTTAGGTATTAAGGCATTATAAAAATAATCAAGTATGAAAATAATATATTACATTTATTAAAAACAAAATTCATTTTTCAATTTTTCTTATATCTGTTTTAATCACAAAAAGATCTATTATTTCGATTTTTGAGTGAGTTTCATTTATTTTATTTGAAATTATATTAATAAATATATACTGCATATATATTTTATATTTATTTTTTTAAATAGTTTACTTTGTAATCTAATTCTGCATATTTTATATAAACAACGTATTCTTAACTTTAGGTCTCCCAGAGATCAATGCCGAAATTAGCTTGGCAATCAAAGTGTTAACTAGTTTTGGTGAAAATTATTATAGATATTCAACCAAATAATTGATAAATAAGTGAAGAAAATTCTTTCAAATATATCGAGTTTTTCAAATAGATTCGAGGTAAAAATTAATCTTTTCGGAAGTTAGACCAGTACGTGTTCAATCTCGCTCGAAGTAGCCATCCTAGGATTCAGTAAGCCAATTTCAGACATTTTTTATTGGGCATTATTTTTAATTTCACTAAATCAGATGATAGTTATTCGACTTTAAACCATCGCATTGCGCTTAAATTAATTGGGAAATCCAACGATCTACGGCCGATTTATTCCTGCCATTATCACTAAGTCTCTACGATCACAATTTCCTTCCTCCTCGTCATCATCATCATCAAATCCGAGAGTCTGCGTGTGTGTGCACGGTGTAATGGTGTAATAACGCAGGACACGCGGACGAAGCATCAATTCAAGCAACACACCTACAACAGCCCCACCTTCTGTGACCACTGCGGTAGTCTTCTCTATGGTGTCATCCACCAGGGCATGAAGTGCCAAGGTATCATATGACAAGTGAAAAAGAAAACGAAACCAACGTAAAGTCAAACGATACGCACAACAGATTCAAACATGCACTCCACTCAGAGATACAATTCTCCCAGAGACACAGTCATCCAACGAGGATAAGGGTCCATGCACAATGAGAGGAACAAGGAACAAGGAATTAAACAGAGAATTTATAGTCGCATCTTATTTCAAAAGACCGTGTCTTGAAATAAGATGCGACTATGAATTATCTCTATGTCTAAATCCTTGTTCCTTATTCCTCTCATTGTGCATGGGTCCTAACACGCACATACATATACACATACATATACGTATAAACATATATACATATACACGATGTACAGTACACTAGTAACACATTTTTCTTTTTCTTTCTGTTTTCTTGGCCCAGCGTGGTGTTGCTTTGTCTTCGTATTGTACTCCTGTATAGTGTTTCTTGGTTTATTTCTTGCTCTCTCTCTCTCTCTTTCTCTCTCCTCTCTGTAAATAATACTCGTTGTAAATATTGTACAGAAGTTCTACGCTGTATCTTCGCCTGCCGTTCGCAGGTGGACGCTAGAAATCCGTTTAATCGCGTTAACAACGATCGCGGATGAACGCCGCAGCGGACGATTGACTTCCCCCCGTTCGCTCGCGTTCCAACGTATCTGCTAATGCGATTAGCGGCGCTTTTAATTATGTATACGGTATACATCCTCCGACGTGGATTTTGCACTGATATTGTACATACTCTGTTAGGTGGCTTTTGTGCGCATTAACTGCGTCTCTCTCTGTCAGCAGAAACATGATTCACAGCTGCGTATGTGTGTGTGCGCGCGCGCGCGTGTGATGTGCCATGTGTGGATTATTACGTATTAACTTGCATAACAATTATGCGCTGTGATGTTACAGTGAATGTACACTGTCTTGCGGCAAGAAAGGGCAAGGAGAGAAGGAGAGAGAACTCGCGCGCCAATGCAGTTACAAAATATACGTGAAATCTAGCGAGAAGGCAGGAAAAGGCGGCAAACGGGAAGAGCGAAGGGCACACCAAGGGAAGTGTGACCGAGTTTCTAATGTCTCGCGTTTCTCACTTTCGTTCTCTTCTTGCCCTTTGGCAGGGAGTGCATTACCAAACCTTTTACGTATCCTCCTTTTGTTGCTGCCCTCGAATATCGCGCGCGTATAAAATGACCCTTTGTCCTTAATACGTCCTGGTTTTGGCTCACACTTATTCGAGACGTATATATTCACATTTGCGCTCGGCTCGGAAAGTTAGCGCTTCAAAAGAATGCTTTTCGTCGATAATTGGATGAACTCGCCTTTGAGTTTTATTTAAGCCGGTAGATTAGACGTTCTGGACGACGTGAAAGAAAAGGAAAAAAGAAGATCGTTTTGACAATTAGTCCGCGAGCCGATCCACATCGAGGGCGCATTTGGTCATCGATGTCGAGCGCGAGTTATACATATATGTATATGTATTTTTCCTTCTATAAAATTTCCCCTCCCCCATCGAAGTTGTAAATAACACTTGTACAGTTATAAGGTGGAAGAGAGAGATTATCCGACAAGGGACTGTCGGTTTGCCGACCAAGTTTGCATCTATAAATAATATTTGTTCAATCGTTGTGTGATTTGTTCATGAGCTGTATAAATGTGTGCGTGTCTGTGTCTGCGCGCGTGGCCGTACGTGTGTGCATGATGGTTGATATAAAACTCTACATGTGCCTAAGAAGGAAGATGGCTAGAAGCTAAATTTTACAAGTAGTTTACAATTGTTTAAATATACTGAACCGATATAACGTTTATGAAAAAAATTAGCAAAGTTATATTCCAAAGAACACAGACAGTATTTTTATGCAAATTATTACCTAAACGTTATCGGAAATAATATTGCAAATATATGTTAAGGTTTCTTAAATGTATCTATAAAGCGTGCTTCTATTCATTTGCTTTCCTTTCCCGTATTTTTCTTAGGCGCATGTAGATCGATGATCTTCTTACCATTTTGTGTCTTTTTCACTGTCACGAGTTTCCGCCGTTGCACCGTAACTGCACAAAAGTCGTGCACTTTTCCGCTGTATTTTCTTGGTGTGATTTTCGCTGTATATCTTCTCGATGTGATTCTTCCATGTATTTCCACAAGTTGTTGACGTCACTCTTCGTTTATCTATTTTTTTTCCTATCTAACTCTCTTTGTACATTTGTCCTAAAACTGTTTCTCGTGTATTTCACAATTTGTTTACGTTTATGCTCTTTGAAGCACCTTGTTTCTTTGACAGTTCGCAATTTTCTTGATGTGTCTTAATTCGACCCAGTGAATTATCGATTTCTCCATATTATCCACGATTTATCAGCAGTTTAATTTCGGCCTCGTCGTTGTTCGTCGTCACGATCGCTCGTTCGCAACAGAAGTTCGCCACAACGATTTTTCAGGTCCGGCTATTCTCTCGAGAGAATTTCGCAAGTCTGAAGCGATATTTTCTCTTCGCACTAAAAAATATAAGATGACAAATTGACGTGGTAGAATCTTTCATAATTTTAACTTATAATTAATCAATTAATTCTTTGATCGAGAACCATTTTGCTTAACGACCCTTCTATACGTTCTATGAAAGAGATTTAAAAGCGATAAGATTTATCGACGAATTTAAAATGGAGGAGCCATATTATATTGTTCAATAAGTTTTCACTTCCATGTTGGAAGGTAGCTGTTTGTTATCACGCAATTTGCTAATCTGTCAATTGAATTTATGATTTTGAAATTAAGTGCACATATATATACTATGATTTAAAACGATAAAAGACATACGTAATATGTAAGATTGAACGTTCTCGATGTACACGAATGAATAAATGAAGAGGATATCTCATATCGCTAGCTTTTCCCTTATAGATTATCACACGTGATTCGCTTTTATGCTCCTTTAGCACGTTTATCATTTCTTCGTCGTGTTGAGCAAAGCCGTCGCGTTCCGCTAATCTTTTCGCGGCGATCAGCGGCACGCGAGCCGCAATTTTGCACGCCGTCGATGCAAGCGATAAAAGGCAGCACGATTAATCTGGTCCTTAAGAGGCGTGAGCTTAAAGGGGCGTCTTTCGCGACAGTAATTATCCGATTAAGTACGTTTAGCATGAACGTGACGATTCGCGCATTTGCTCGCTTAATCATTGATTTAACAATTCGCCGCATGAAAATGAGACGAAAGAGGAAATAGATGCAGAAAAAGGTGGATTGGCACAGTTCCAAGATATAGTATATGGGCATATCGTGCCTAATTTCTTCATTCCTGGTTTACCAGATCCCTTCGTTCTTAGCTTACATTCCGTTCGCATTGTCGCTCTTATTGTCGTCAGCGAGAGAAAGATAAGAACAATGGTTTTCCTGTAAATTTTTTAAGCGTACCCACGTTTCATATTTTCGTGGTCGGGATTTTATAGATTGCTGAAAATGCTCTGTAAATGGATTCTTTATAATAATCATAATCATTTCTGTTGTGAGAATCTTGACATTGTTCCAATCAGTATTATGGATCAAGTTTTTGCATCAATTTTAAATAATTTTTACCGTAATAAGAAATTGATATTTAACACAAGTAAGTATTTTTATGTTTTTACGTAAATGATGCATCTTAAAGGAAGGGTAGTGACGTCTGTCGTATTTTTATCAAACCCGCATAATAAATTACCTATAAATAAATATAAAAAATAAGTTTGTGTAAACATGAAAATATTTATGAACAAATGTAAAAGGATGTAATAAAAATAGAATTCATTATCTTTGGCGTTGTACGTTGCACAGAATTCTATTTACCTTCTATTTGAAAAAAAGACACTATTCGTGCAACTTTAAACGGAAGAGATCAAGTAAGGAGCGCAAAACTTCTTAATGAAGTTAGAAAACAGTTATGGTGTACGCTGCTTCCGCTTGTAATCTAATTTTGAGGTCTATAATTTTTTTAACGCTAGGAACACACTGTGTACTTTTACTTTGTTCAGTTGCATTTTCATCTCACACTGATTTCATTGTTCATTGAGATATTTCATTTGAGCACACGGTTTTATCACGTAGCATGACAAAAATAATACGAATTATATAAATTCTGTAAAGCTCCTACGTGCTTCTCTCGCCGATGATTTAATTTCCCAACTAGATTATGATTAAGGGTGGCAAGCAAAGAGAGAGTGAAGTTCTGACGAAGATACCCCAGGTGCATTTAGGCAATATTCGCGTTGGATGGATTCGTAAGGCCGTGACAAAGGTCTAGTCTTTTACGGGAAATGCCGGTAAAGGATTTTCTCGAAAGACGAGCTGACGCTCGGCACGTGAAGAGGAGGGGAAGAAGAAGGGCAAATGACTGGCGTGGAAATTAATTAAACGGTTGAGTCCACGGACCGAAAGAAAAGGCTGCAAAACGGAAGTGAGAGGCCTGACGTTGCGCAAAGGTTTTTTTATGCATCGCGAAAAAGAGTACACTGTTCTCCTCCAAAGAAGCCCCCGTTCAGATGCTATTGAATTACATTTTATGGATATTATTTCGAAGAATTTAATAGCTTGCAGGATCTTGTATCTTGGATAATAGATTTTTATCTGCGTTACTTCCACATCGTGAAAGGGGTTATGGGAAAATTTATTGCCTGACGTATCCTGAGATCAAAATATAATTATTTCCATTTATCTTTTGTGCGCGATAGAAAAGAAGCAGCGAAATGTTATTTAACCATACAAATTTAATCATTTGTTGGTTATTCTCCGCATTAGATAAATATTTTTCGAGAATCGCGAAGAAAGACGCGTAAACAATTATTCTCGACGATTTTGAAACGTTAAAGGTTATTGGTATTACAGTTTCATACTACGTTGCACGAGGATTTGTTTGGAATTTTTAATCGGATAGTCGAAATTTTGCATTGTGATTTCATTGTTGATAGGTATTGGTTACAGTTAACACTGCATTTTTCCACTGACGTCCTTTTGAGAGCTTTGAGTGAAAGCCTTTCCTGCACCGGGGT